GAATCACAAGCTTTCTCTTCTGTGATTTTTTTATTTTAAAGTTTTTCCTATCGAATTTGGTGAATTTGCTACTATTGCTTTACCTCCAAGTCTTTGATTCCTCTGCCACATTGTTCCTGAAATTTAAATTTTAGGTTTTAAAAGATCAAAAGATCCTTAACACGCATAAGATTTGAAAAGACTCAATTTTCTTAAGGAGAATAAATTAAGGTTACATCTTGGATCATCCTCTCTATTCTAGTTGAGGAACCTGATATTCCTGGGTTTGATACTTGAGGATCATTCAGGATAAGATTTGTTCTTGATGCGGATAAGAGGCGACGCGCAAAAGATTGTGAATTGGTCTTGAGTATTATGGGCTGCATTTGCTCGAAAGGAACTGCTGAAGAAGAACTTAATGATCAACCTCAGAAACCGAACGAAACTTGGAACAAGACATCCTCAGTTCAATTGATTGCACCTGTAACCTCCAAGAAAGATGATTTTTCACATAAATCCGTGGACGGAAGCTCTGGTGGACGCAAAACCGATGGATTAGCGCATAAACCATCCGCTAGAGCCAGCGGATTGATTGTTCCTGTAGATGATAGTGATGGCAAAACAGTAATCGTAGAGAGACCCACACGGTCGCACCGGAGATGTTCAACTGCAGATATTGGGGCAACAGGAGGAGGATTCCAAATGTTTCAGCAGAGTAATATCATCACAAGTGTTCCACACAGCCCCGAGGCCGAGCTCATTGCAGCTGGATGGCCATCTTGGTTAACCTCTGTTGCAGGTGAAGCCATCAAAGGTTGGGTTCCTCGACCTGCAGAGTCCTTTGAGAAGTTGGACAAAGTAAGTTTCTTTTCTCTTTCTCTGTTTCCATACAATTTGTCTATGTTGCATCAATATTACGCATTGGCTTGTTTGCTGCAATGGCCTCAATTCTATCTAAATTAATTTGTTGATTGTTTGCATAAGCTCTGCACATTTTTGATTATTATGTGAACACTGTATATTGCAGATTGGACAAGGGACTTACAGTAGTGTGTACAGAGCTCGGGACCTTGAGACCGGCAAAACAGTAGCCATGAAGAAGGTCAGGTTCGTCAATATGGATCCTGAAAGTGTGAGATTCATGGCCAGGGAAATCAACATCTTGCGCAAACTCGACCATCCAAACGTTATGAAGCTCGAGTGTCTTGTGACCTCAAAACTCTCTGGTAGCTTGTACCTTGTGTTTGAATACATGGAGCATGACCTTTCAGGCCTCGCTCTTAGACCTGGTGTAAAATTCACAGAATCGCAGGTACGTTCAAGGCTTTGGTTATAGTGAAAGAGTTAACAGCAAAAAAGGTAACAAGGAATCATGGACTAACAAGTGGACAAATTTTGATTCTTATTGCTTCTTGCAGATCAAATGTTACATGAAACAACTCCTTAGCGGGCTTGAACACTGTCACAGCCGTGGAATCCTCCACCGCGACATCAAGGGTTCGAATCTCTTGGTAAACAATGATGGAGTCCTCAAGATTGGAGATTTTGGTCTGGCAACTTTCTATCATCCAGAGCAAGATCAACCCTTGACGAGCCGTGTAGTAACCTTGTGGTACAGGGCCCCTGAGCTTCTATTGGGAGCTACAGAGTATGGAGCCGGCATAGATCTCTGGAGTGTTGGTTGCATTCTCACAGAACTGTTTTTAGGAAAACCAATCATGCCGGGAAGAACAGAGGTGAATTACCTGTAGATTTATCAGACAACCAGTTCTTTGCATCCATGACCATTTAGTATATTTATTGATTCAAACAATTTACCTTTGCCAATGTCTCTTAGGTGGAGCAAATGCATAAAATCTTCAAGTTGTGTGGTTCACCATCTGATGATTACTGGCAAAAGACAAAGCTACCACTTGCGACAAGTTTCAAGCCACAACAACCTTACAAGCGTGTCCTTCTGGAGACGTTCAAGAGTTTGCCATCTTCTGCTCTAGCTCTTGTTGACAAGCTTCTATCCTTAGAACCAGAGAAGCGAGGCTCAGCTTCTTCAACGCTAAATAGCAAGGTAGACTTCTATTTCTTCATATAGCAATTCTTGATTTGTCTCATGAACTCGAACTCAATTCTTTTTCTCTCTTTCTTCTTTAGTTCTTCACAACGGAACCACTCCCTTGCGATGTCTCAAGTTTGCCCAAGTACCCTCCAAGCAAGGAACTTGATGCAAAGGTCCGGGACGAAGAAGCACGAAGGTATGTGTGAAAGGTTCCCTATATCAGTATTCTAGCACTAGACCAACCAAGAAATGATTCATGTGAATTCATAAACAAACGTTCTATATAACTTCAGGAAACGGGCCGAAACTGTGAAGGGTCGTGGACCTGAATCTGTGAGAAGGGGTTCGAGAGACTTCAAGAGTACTGTAACAACGCCGGAGTTCATTGCTTCAGGGCAGTCAAAAGCCACAATCACCACTCAGGAAGACAGTAGAACCGGCTTCAAGGGAGAGATGGGAAGCCACGACAGAGAGAAGGGATATTCTCATACCAATTCAGTAGCTCATCCAAGCATAACAGCAACATGGAGTAAGAATGAGAGCTCTAGGAACAATGTAGTAGAGTTGAAGTCTACCCGGTCTAGCAACGTGCCCATGACTGGGAGATACTTGTCTCCTTCACATAAAGAGGATGTAGCCGGAGAACCCACAACGGTAATAAATCACTTGGAATTGGTTGATTCAACATACAGTATTAGTTATAGTTTTCCCTTTTAGATAATGGATCCTAAGATATTTTGTTCATGCGATTTCAGACATACATACGCAAGAAGAACAGAATGCACTGTTCGGGTCCATTGATGCCTCCTGGTGGTAACATTGAGGACATTCTGAAAGATCATGAGAGGCAAATCCAAGAAGCTGTAAGGAAATCACGGCTTGAGAAATCTGCAACAAAGAGAATCAGAACAGGTGCATAGTAGAAGGAAAGAAACAAGAAAAAAAAAAACATTACCTGAACTGGAAGAACAAAGATTGACCAATCGACGATGGATGTTCGGTTTTGCGCTGAAATCGACACTGCTCTTTCACAGCTTTTGGCAGGCCATTGCCAGAGCTATGCTTGTGCTAGTGTAAGATCTGTAATTATGTGGTCATTGTACATGGAAACTCCTCTGTTTTCTCTGTCTCACACACATTACTTGTGGTCTGAGTATGCAAGATATAAACAGAAATGTGACAGTAATCTAATTCAATCTCCTCTCTGAGCTGATCTATTGAAAACACTGCGATATCTTCTGATACGATCAGCGGCTTTTCGTCTTTTGAGTCTTCCTCTCTTTACTCTATCTGTGAATACACTATTACCAATCACTTTTGATAAGGACAATATTCACAATCCTAGCTTTTGATGAGGAAAGGGAATTAAATTTACCTCATTTCAAGCTCCTAGACTCACAATCCTAACTAGAATCCAAAACATCCAAAAAAAAGAAAAGCCCGTAAATGAGTCTCACACTATTGAGTGAAAAAGTTACCACTTGAGCATCAACAGTTGACGAAAACATAACCGAGCTATATAGCACGAACACCTCTTAAACAACCGACTTATCAGAATCATTTTCTCATGGCTCACAAGAAAAACGCACACACTAAGAGGTGAATCAATCGTCTTGCCTTATTCCCCCCAATTGCTAATCGATCAAGCAAGAGTCAAGAGCCACCATTTCTCTCGCATAAACTTATAAAAAAATCAAAAAATTCCCCTTTTTGAAGTAAGCATCCGAACAACATTTAATCCCTTACCAGAGGCTAAGAAGAAACCAAAGAAGGCAACCCAGAAGCAGAAACTTTGCACCGAATTCTCAGAATGTCCCCAGTTTCCGGGAAAACTTTTTCTCGGTAAACAATGGAAACCAAACTCTGGGGAACGACCATCAGTGTCTGGACTCTGGATCATGTGAGAAGAAGAGTAGATGATTTTCCTGACAAAACTAAAGATGTATAAGTTACCTAATTGCCCTTTATGTCTGCCTCGCCGTCAAAGCAATTTATTTCGTTGTTTTCGAGAATAAGTGAGGGTAAATATGTCAATTACCCGAGGAGTCGACTTCTTTCTTTGTTGTTCCAGTTAAGGCTAAGCGCCAAAGGAAATTCTGCACTCATCTTCAGTGGCGAATTAGGGTTTAGGGTTTTGACAGGAACAAATGCCGATTCCATCCCCTTGTTCTCTCAGCCATCCGATTGCGTCATTTCCGATATCCACGTTTCATTCACATCGACCTCATCGATTCTCCAAGAGAAATTCAACCTGGATTCGAGGAAAGGGAAGAATCTATGTGAAATCGAGCAATTCAGAGGCGAAATCGGACGAAACAAAGCAAAAATCGACTAGTTCTAGTGAAAACAATGATACGAGCAGCGGCAATACATCTAGCTTCTTGTCTTTTCTCTGTCCACTGCTTAAAGTTTTCTCTGTGAGTCTTC